ATGCAGTGCGCAATATTGACAAGGGTGGTCCAGATATCCTGATTGGAGTTGACGTGTGGCAATACCGACTCAAGTATAGCTGTAGATGTTGTTGTAGCCTTTTGCCATAAGGTCGGTGCTCGACCCTCTCGTTGCCACACGTACTTCTCTTCAATCGGTTGCGCCAGACTGGTAAAAGCGAAAGACAGTGCATCAGTCATGTACATCTCTTTCAGCTCAACATGTTTGACGACGATGTCTTGCAGCAGCGTCATTGAGGCTTTTGAGAGTGCGACAAAGGTTGGCCCGCGCTTTTCCGGGAACTTAGCCAAGGAGGTGTACGGCAGCGTAATGAACCGGCCCAACATGCGTATCAGATACGGTGGAATATCGTTGTCTTCTTCCGTTTTGACCATCCTTAAGCATTCCACCACCCGATTCTGGAGAGTGGTCATAGTGTCCAAATCCGAAGAGTAAGCGACTTCGTCCGAGTTGACAACGCAAGCTTCGAGGTTCGCGAGCATCAAAGGCAGATCCTTGTTAAGGAGCCGATCAGAGAGGCGGTAGATCGCTTTGAAAGCCTCTGCATACGCAATGAAAGCGTCTTGGTTGTCCTCTTCGTGTACCTCTTGCCAAGCGTCTGAAGAGGAAAAGTAGCTTCTCCATACCGCTGCAGTCTTGAGAAGAGGATCGGTACTCCATACCTGAGCAGTTTCGGTGGAAGAGAGAACACCTGTCATTGTGGCGAACACCGAAGCCCCTAACGCATGCGAGTGGTATTCGAAGTAGCGGTTCAGGAGTTCCAGTAGCTCTGACCATGCGTCACCAAGCTGAGACGTATCCAACTTTTCCATGTAGGTAGTGTTGAGAACGGTCAGGGTCTGAAGAACCGCCTTTGTAGTCTCATCCCATTCCTTGTGGTCGTCTTTGCGTGAAGTTTGTATCCGAATATCGTTCTGGACGTTCAAGTTGGCCTCCACCATACCGAACAGGATTGTACCAAGGCAAAGCAACCAAACTTCCGATGACAACTGATCAGAACAGTTCTCGAAGATCCGCTGTATAGTTTGGATCGCAGAGTGCCGCACCTCAATGCGTTCATCCGTTGTGATGGATGAGAGATTTAGCAGAACTTGAAGCCACAATGCCGCAGTCTTTCCTTCTCGTGAATGTGTGCTTACGGCATCTTCGACGTCGTTCTTGCCACTAGTCTGAGTAACAACCTCCACCAATGAGGAGAGATCGGTCCGTGACTGTAAGTAGTCTGACACATTCCAAAAGAAGGTGATCGCCTATAACAAATTAGACACTTATCACGCATTTAAGAAAGAATCACTCACGGTGAGAGACATGTTCAAATCCTCTCTTTGGGAGCAGAACCTGCGCAAGAGTTCTAAAAGCGTCGAGAGGCAAGCATCCGGAACAGCAGTCATGAAATCCGAGCAGACGAGATTGGCTGTCGCAAATGCCGATCGAGCAAGAGACCTTGATATAACGTCTGTAGTGGAACTTGTGGCTTGACTGTTTCCAGAGGTCTCGACGTCTTCCGGGTTTTTCTGCGCCGATGGCAATTTTTGGGTGAATACGCTCATCAAGCTCTCAATGACAGAAGTCCAGCCAGCAACTAAGGACTCGCCGCATTGCTCAATCACGCTCTTGAGTGCTTCTAGAGCTATTTGATGTACCCGTATATCAGTGTCGCTGATCGTGTCTTTGTTGACCCCATCATAATGATGGAGGTCGGTAATCTGCTTTTGCAGTGCAGCAAGTATGCGAGCCTGTATCTCTTCGCGTTGGTCGTCGGACATGGAGAGCTCGGCGATCTCCCTAACTGTCCTTGCTAAGATGTCGGCTGCCAGCAGCCTTGTAGGCGTCGCTTTTCGACTGTCAGTGGAGTAGCGTATAACTTCTCGAATCAGGATGTCCCATCCACTATCAGCGGGATCATATTGCGACAATCTACTTTCGTTCAATGACGCCAGCTCTCCAATTTTGTTCAACGCAAATGCCGAGTCGCGAGAGTTAGCATCTGTATTGAGACCGATTCCCGATGCGCTACCGAGACGCCGATGTGAAACCTGAGGACGGCTGGAGGTAATCGGTGTTCTTTGTCCGCTCTCTGATGATGATACCCCGTTTAGCAGTGAGCAAAGCGCTTGTAGTACCTCGGAAAAGGACTCATTAGGATAGTCAACTGTACTTTCAAAGAGCCTGCGCGCAGCACTCTGGACGGCTGAGGTCTCTGCCTCTAATTTCTCTGTATTGGTATCCATGTCCGCACGGCTTCCAGATCCAGATGCGCGACTGCTGTTCTGGCTCGACAACGCCATCACTAGATCGGCTACTTGTAGCGTCTCAAAGACGATAGACCATGCTGACTGTAGCGTTGGTCCTAGTGCAATTGCAAGGTTGAGTAGAGCCCGCAGGCACAGTAAGTTGCGAGGGCCCAGCGTGGGGGCTGTAACATCGTGTGAAGGGCGCCTGTTCTTGTCGGTGGACATTGAGGAAGCTTGGCTCACAAAGCTGTCCACACTGAGCATCCCTCTCGCATTAGAGAAGATCCCAGACTTCTCATTAGTAGGAGACGAAGCGTTGGCTAGCAGCAAGTTCGATGGGACAGCTGCTTTACCCATAGTAGTGAGGAATGCATCTCGTGGCGTTGAGAGTCTGAGCAGTCCGGCAACCTGAGTAAACTTTTGTATGGCTCGGATCAGAGCCCTGTAATAGTCCGTATCAAGCGTAGCATTAAGGAATGTTGAGCAGGTTGCAAGTACTGCAGGCCAGCATTCCGTGACCAAGTTGGTCGAGGTCTGCACGTATGAGTAAGCCGGGTGATCGGTCAGATCCAGAGGATTGACTGGTATAGTCTTTTTGCGGAAAGAATGAGTCCTCGAAAGCTTTCGAGTGCTTCGATCTGGCGATGCGACATCCGTGTCGTCTTCATTCATTTCATCGGCTTTGGTTTTCTTCCGGCTTCTGCTCTCATGATGTACAGTAAGAGGAAGAACGAATTTTGCGAGGCTTTCAGAAATGTTGGTGATACATGTCAACACCAGACTGTAGATGTACGTTTCGGGTAGTGCAGGTGGATCGGTTTTGTCGAGGTGTTCGATGCACGGAGTTTTGAGAGAACTCCATTGCATGCTGATGCCAGAAGGACGAACATGGTTGCTAGTATCGCTCACAGAACCACCTATGACGCCAGCCAATGCGCCCGCTTCAGCGACAGCTTGATCCGATACCTCTTCTTCAAAACCAGCGGCAGCTGTTGACTGCTGACCTAAGCCAATCGCCGATGGCTTTTCAGTCGCAAGGCGCACGAAAGCTGCTAGGTTGTCTCCAAATATGTTCTTTTTTCCGCTTTCCGCATCAAATAGGGCATAGATTGCTAGGAGAAGTCTAGAATCGGCGTAAATGCTGCGGAACACCTCAAGACAAAGAACTCTCTTCCATGCCTGAGAGGCCTCAGGATCGAGCATATGGTTCAAAAGACCGAGCGCAATCTCGCATTCGGAGGGGAGCGTGTCAAGATGATACCGAATGATCAGATGTAGTATCCGGATGATGCGCACAGTCACCGCAAAGGACAAACGATCGGATAGAGAGCGGATGATGAGCGGCATTAACTGCGTTCGCATAATGTAAATCTGTTCCGGATGCGTCGTCATGATCTTGTTGTGGTTTGATAGGATTGCTTCGATCAGCTCCAGCGTCGAGGCTGGCGGTAGCGAAGCAAATCGCATGAAGACTGGCTTCTCTCCAACGATGAGTGCGATGAGATCGGTAAACATCTAAACTTCGTCAGTAAAGCTACTGGCATTTGAGAAGATGACAAACCTTGTAGGCATCGTTCGCTGCCGGTCTGACTGAGACTTGGCCATCATCGCCTTTCACCTCGGTCACTGTAGGAATCTCTAAGGCTTTCTCTTTGCATTTGGTCAGCCTATAACACCTATGTCCCTTGACTCAGCATCATACCATCTTCGGACGCAACTCTGTCGAATACGACAATCACCAACTGTTGTAATGTGGCTGCAGCCGTGTTGCTGACAGCAAAGTTCTTCGCATTCTGGAGACTTGAACATATTTGCAGAACAGCGGATAATGACTCGCTGCGTATTTCCGCGGGATAGTTCTGAAGCAGTGAAGGTAGCGCCTGCAGTATCTTCAGCTGGATATCATGACCTGACAGCGTTAGCTACGTCTGAAGCATCCTGCTCGGTCTTTTTACTTGATGGTACAGATTGCTTGAACGCTTCAAGCACTTCTGTTAGCCGTTCCCGTGGCAATGCTCGCGAAACGCTGAGTCTTTGGAGACATGAAATTCCAGTAGATGCAAATTTGGCATTTTGGGTTCCGCAAGCAATCAAGAAGGGCGAGATGAAATGTGGTCGTCGCGAGAGATCTTGATTCCGTCAACACGTGCAGATCAAGTGACAGTAGGCATCTCACCAGCCGAGAGTTGGGCTTCTGAAGTATTGGAAAGCGACTTCAAGTCCTTCAAGGCCGTCTCTGCAGCATTGCGTAGCTCGGTATTCTTGCGTTTTGCATCCTGTATGAGGTTGCCTAGTTCAGCCGCCAAGATTTGAGCTGTCATTCTTTTGGTAGGAGCCGAAGCATCTGGACGGTCCTTCCAGGCAAAGGAGTGACTTGAGAGTTGGGTATTGGGTTGTTGTTCTGTCGAATCGCTAAAGGCAACGTTGTCGCGTCTGGGGCGACGGGCCAAGCGATTCACGCGTGCCAGGTGAGACCCTGGTCCACGGGTGCCTCGTCATAACCATCGACGCTAGCGGGCCCGGCAGGCATGTTTAGACAAACATCTATCCTGCTGCCACCCAGAACTTAACAATTGCGCTTGAGTCGAGTACACTGCCAGCAATCTACACTCTAGCTACATTAGCTACAAAGCTCAATCAAACTATCCACAACCGTCAACAGCTACCAATATCGCATAGCGGGGTCCATCCCACTTCCTCACGCGCCACACCTCTGTTCAGCCTTTACACATAACTACCGCTACTATGGGCGCTAAGGTTCCGCGCAACTTCCGCCTGCTGGAAGAGCTCGAGAAGGGCGAGAAGGGTCTCGGTGCTGGTATGGTAGATCTGTGGTATAGCCGTGGGTAACAGGGTACTGAGAGTTTACAGAGGCCTGTTCATACGGTCTTGACAATGGCGACGACCTGCTGATGTCCGACTGGAACGGTACCATTCTCGGCCCACCACACGTATGTGCTCCTTTTTTCCGCGTCACAATCTGCATACTGACCCCGTCGCAGAGCGTCCACGAGAACCGCATTTACAGCGTATCGATCCACTGCGGCCCTGACTACCCCGACACTCCTCCGGAGATCAAGTTCACAACCAAGATCAACCTACCCTGCGTCAACCCTCAGAACGGAAAGGTGCGATAGTCGGAGGCGTAGATGCTGGGCGCATACTGACAATATCAGGTCGATGGGTCGAAGCTGCCATGTCTGGCTCAATGGAAGCGCGATTTCACCATGGAGACGATACTGATAGAGCTCCGAAGGTTAGCATACCCATAAGCTGAAATTGATTTGCATAATACTAATTGCGCATCAGGTATATGGCGCTGCCTCAGAACAAGAAGCTTCCACAGCCACCTGAAGGCGCGATGTTCTAGAAGAACGCGCACAGCCTGCTCCAGAAAAGATCTAAGAATCAGGCATGATATGGGCATAAGATATGATGCACGAAGGAAATGAATGCGCATGGAACGGAGTTATGGTCTGCTAGCGTAGCCATACAGCCTGACAAGAGATCAGGATTATCAACAACTTATATTACTTCATTTTGCTCCTGTCTCGTTCTTTGCGGAGTCTCTGAGGACGTTCTTACAGCAGAATATTGAAGTCAGTTACCAGCGTGGCGAATATCGAGTACCTGCATACGCGCAATATCGTACTTTGGAAAGAGGTGGTGCGCACGTGATATCTATCATCCCAGCCCAAATCCTTCGCGTTGCGGCGCAGGCCTCGGACCTCCACCACCGAGCCATCTCATGCATGCCCCGATTCCTCCAGCCTAAACGGTCGACACAACACCGCGTAGCAGGTTAGACACTGAGCCTTTTGGTAAATACCAATGAACCCTAACATCGTTTCTAGCAATCGCTCTTTATCGAGCCTTGCTGTCGCGATGTTCCTCCGCTCCGCTCCCAGATGACGACCGAGTCTCTTTGTTCAACGCCATTCGCAACAAGTTTCGGCGGAACAGGAAGATACAGAGCCCTTATCAATTAGGTCTGAGCTTCAAAGCTGGTTATGAGGTTGGTCTATGTTACTGCAGCTTTGAATTCATCAATTGACAATGTACAGACACTCGACCATCTCGATGCCTCCGCTACTGGCAATACAGCCAGCGCAAGCACTCTGACGCAACTGATCTCTCAATTGCCCCGCGGTCTAATACGCGCCCCTCCCATAAGACGGTACGAAAAGACGACGCTGCCAGACCCTCCCAAAGAACGGCTTGCGTGCCTTCCACCCGAGAGAGCCGTCCTCAACGTGCGACCCTATGCAAAAACCTCTGGACCCCGCCGCGTCCCTATCCTCGCCTCCGCAAACGGCGTACCCTTCCTGCGCCTCACGAAGCCGCAACCTCCAGCACTGAGTCGCGTCATCCAACAGCGACTACGGCGCAAGAACGAGCTCTTCGACACGAGGGTCCTTCTGGAAAACTGGTGGCTGCCCATATGCCAGCAGGAGGACGTGTGGGACGTACTCATAACCGCGCAATCGAAGGAGCGCGAAGATACTGTGAAATGGCAAACTGCGGTTCGTGATTCATTGAGGGCGAACCAGGAAGCACACCAGGCGGACATCAGGAAGGATATCTTGATGACGAAGAAGATGCAGAGGATCGTAGATATGGAGACTGAACTTGTGCTCAAGGAGGGACAGACGATTGTGAGGGGAAGGAAGAGGCATCCTTTACGCGTCGTCAAGCCGGAACCATGAGCACAATATACTATATTATGGCTTGCTGTATCTGCGCATCGCAAGATGGGTATATGTTCGACCTGATATACCATGCCAATGCACTGTAGTCACTATGAAGCCGCCTCAATCTTCAACTTCCCTACATCCACTCCGTCTACACCATCGTCATCGTCATCATCATCATCCACCTTGCCGACCAAGCCTCGCTGCCACAGCTCCTTACCCGTCAACTTCTTCTCTTCCTTGACAATCCTCTTCTTCTTATCCTCCAGCTCCTTCTCCTCTTCCTTCCGCCTCTTCTCATCCTCCATCTCCTTCCTAAACCTTTCTCGCCATGCGAGGAACGTCTCTCGTGTGACCGCCTCACCCTGGAACTTCTTGTTCTCTTCCTCCTCGGCTTTGGCCTTGGCGATATCGACGAGGGCTTGCTTCGCGTTTTGGCGCTCCGTTATGAGCAGCTCGGCGCTGTCTTTGAGGACGGTTACGAGGGTGAAGACCATGGCCATGCCGAGGTTCTCTTCTATCGTCTCCGTGAGCGAGTCTAGCAGGCGTTGCTTGTCTTCCTGTATGTCGAGGTATTGGTGTCGTGGCGCGTTGGGCGGTTGTGTTACGTCGAGTCGGGGGGCTTCGTCGGGGTAGTTGGGCGGGTAGGAGACATTGAGGATGATGACAGCTGGTGGACATGAGTTTAAGTCTGTCTGTAGAGATAATGCAAGCGCATACGTTGCTCTTCTTCTGTTTCAACGTCTTCGTGGCGGCCATCGTCGAGCGTTATTGCGATTCGGAACTCTGTCTCGGAAACATCTGCGGAGTGTCAGTATATAGTAAGAAGATGTTGCGCAGGAAAGCGCCACCTGTGATCTCGTCGGGAAAGATAGACTCGAGCACCTCGCGCTCTTCTTTCTGGTCTTCGATACCCATTGTGTGAAGTAGTATGGAAATCAGTACAGTGATGGCATCTGCAAGTGACGCTGAGGCTGCTCTGGTGGGGCGCGCCTTCCCCACGTTAGCTCCGTCCGACCGCCGATCTCTAGAAATTTTTGGGAATCTTGGACCGCTACATCATACATCCACAACACCACACACATCTCACATCATGGCGAAAACGAAACCTACCGATCGCAAGGCGAAGAAGAGCGCAAAGAGCGGCGCAGTAAAAGAATCGAAGAAACCGAAGGCGTCACCAGAAGAACTTTTGATTCAAGCCGCTACCTTCTTACAAACGTCACAACCCGAAGAAGCGCTGGTCGCCGCACGAAGAGCCCTCAACCTACTCCAGCCCGGCACATCAAAACCCTCCGCTGCAGCACTACCTGCACTGAACCTTCTCGGCGAGATCAATGTCGAAATGGGCGACCCAGACTCTGCGCGCGAAGCCTTCCAAGCAGCAATTGTAATCGACCCGGAAGGCGCGAACGATGGCGCAGAGAAGTTCTTATGGCTAGCACAATTAAACGAGGAGGGAGGCGCCGAGAGTGTGCGGTGGTTCGAGAAGGGCATTGAAGTGCTGAAGAGGGAGATCAGTGAGCTGGAAGGCAAGCGGGTGAAGAAGGACGAAGTCGAGGAGCTGCTGGAGGAGAAGAGACAAAAGATAGCGAACTCGCTCTGTGGTATTGCTGAAGTCTACATGACGGATCTGTCCTGGGAAGAAGACGCCGAAGCGCGATGCAACGCTGCCGTCACCGAAGCACTACTTTTCGCACCCGAAAACCCAGAACCACTACAAACGCTCGCATCGATACGCATCTCGCAGCTCAAGCCCGACGAAGCAAAATCCGCACTGACACGGAGTATGGATCTTTGGAAAGATCTCGACCCAGACAATCCCAAGGTCCCAGACTACTCAACTCGTATCAGTCTTTCTCGCCTGCTCATGGAAGCTGAGATGGAAGACGAGGCTATCGAAGTGTTGGAGCGATTAGTGGGCGAGAACGACGGCAGTGTCGATGCTTGGTATCTGGGCGGTTGGTGCCTGCACTTGCTCGCGGGAAAGCAAAAGACCGAAGGAGAGGAAAAGGTTGCAACATCACTACTGCGTGCCAGTCGCGATTGGCTGGAGAACTGCCTCAAGCTCTACAACATGCTGGAGTGGGAGGACGAGCGGCTGAAGGAGCACGCCGATGAGATATTGAAGGAGCTCAACGACGTACTCGGTCCCTCTACCGGCGAGGAAGATGAGGACTGGGAAGACGCCGACGAAGAGATGGATGATGATGACGATGACGACAATGAGAAGATGGACGGCACGTGAATGTGAAAGTATAACTTTACAGGCCGGCTTGGCCGTGTTGAGGCCGCCGATGGTCAGCGATACGCGGCTCCGCTGTGAATGGGACCGAGATTGGGGATATCGGGCAGCATGGGCAGCAATGTTGGGATGTTACGATCGACGTAGTTCAGGCTGAGCATGCTGGGACATATCGGCGCATTATAGCACAAGCTGGATGTAGTGTAGATTTATTTGATACCCAGGGTGCGTGGATGGACAGCAGACGCGCGACCTGAGGCAGGCAGTTGGCAGCACCAGCGTGGGACGGGGCCCCTGCATGTGGGATGCCGCCGCGAACCTATGTAGGATGGGCACTAGGATGCTGTCAGCGGTGCCGTGACAGCTCCTGAATAGACGAAGCCACACGCCAATCATTTCCCGCTTTGCGAGCTACTGAGGTCGCGTCCCGCTTCGAGGTGCGAACGCGAGCAGAGGCGCATCGGCGACGTCAACAGAACGTGTGTGTAGGACGAGTCGTCGCATGCGGAGCGAGTGCGCCAGTCGCTTGCAGGGGCGGCAGCCCATTGGCGCGCTGCGCTGAGGGTGTAACACCAAGGTGCGGTGGATGGGATGAGACATGGCCTGCGCTTGGCAGCTCTGTCGACGTCGCCGGCGCCGCCAACGCCACGAATAATCAATCATGCTCGTCGAGACCAAGACCGCCCTGGGCAGTTGCCGCAAAGTCAAAGTGACGCTGCGCCATCGCCCTCGCCGGCCGACGTGGTGCCTTTAGATCCCAACCCACAAAAGTCAACGCGCCCTCGCCGGCCGTCCCTCGCGCCTGCTCCGACAGATGCTCAGCAAGCCCCACACCCGTACACATCGCATTCGACGGAGAGTGCGTCGCAAACCCTCGGCCGCCCGGGCATGCCATGATCTGGTATCTTCTCTATCCGCTGCGTGGGTGAGTCGCTGCTGCCCCATACCACGCGTCCGCCTCTAAACGCTGCTCTAGTACCACTGAACCACCACGGCTCGACACCTCGCACCCCATCCGCCGCGCGTTCCAGGCCCACGGCACTGCCACGGCCCGGCATTGGCTGCTCTCCATTGTCCTGACCATCACCGTCTCCGTCCTGCTCTGCTACCAGGCCGTCTTCCAGGCCGACAGCTCCGCCGCCGCTGCCCTCCGCAATCTCCCCAAGCATGTCTGGACATCGACCACCGAGGTCGAGGGCGAGCGCCCCGCCGATGTCGTCGTGCGCCAGGTCTGGGTCCACGGCGACTACATGAATGCAATTGCCCTGCCGGTGCTGCGCGAAGCGATGCATGTCCAGGAAGTGCTCATCAACGGCGGTTTTGACACGCGAGAGAGCGCTGCGTACGACGACCAGTACATGCTCCAGCGCGATGCCCCGGGCTGCCTCGTGGCACCCGCCGGAGAGAAGTGGGGCTGGCACTCGCCGTTGATGTACTGGGACTGCTCGCTGAGCGCGCTCGAGAAAGACGACAACCTCCTCGATACCATCAACGCCCATAATCGCATCCGCTCGGCACTCAATGTCACCCTGCGCCCGAGCACCGTCTTTGCCGGCAAGTCCTTCTCGGCCACCAAACTTCGCGCCGCGGATGCGTTGGTTATCACGCTGTTCGACCAGACCAACTCGAGCTTGGGAGATACTTGGGACTCACGGTCGCGCCTTCTGGCTGATAAGCTGGACCCAGACTGGACCATCTTCCCGCCCGACGGCCAGGTCGGGCGGAGTCGACTCTACGAGTTCCGGTTCAAGCCGATGACTTTGAACGACGACTTGTTCTTAGCAGCGTCCTACCTAGTGACCGCGGTCTATGTCATATGGAGGATGATGCAGCTGCGAGCAGTCAAGAGTTGGTTTGGTCTGCTTGTAACCATATGTGCCAAGGTATACTCACTCCCACATGCTACTACTTCCACTGCTAACCACCGGGCAGATGTCCATCTGCGTCATCGCCAGTTTCACCCTCTGTACCTATCTTGGAATTGATTTAGCGCGAATACCCCGCCCATGGTTTCCTGGAGTTGTCTTTTGTTTTGGATTGGGAAATATGTGCGTACACTGTTGCTCCTCCCCAACCTGGCTGACACAACTAGATTTCGTTTGATTAATGTCGTCCTCGAGACACCCCCGGAGATGCCCCCTTACCAGCGAATCGGGAACGCGCTCGGTGAAGTCGGACATCTATCTCTTGCCATTGCCTTCCAAAATCTGGCCCTTTTGTACCTTTGTTCCCGGCTCGTTTCACCCTGGGTAGCCGACTTTTGCGTCTTCGCTGCCGTCACCCTCGTATTCGACCTTGTTTTCCACTTGACCTTCTTTGTCGCTGTTCTCAGCGTCGACGTGCAGAGAATGGAACTTTCAGACTCACTGGACCGCGCCGATCTCCATCAAAACAACAACAAGAAAGGAACGGAGCGGCAGTCTTGGCTTGGAGCGTTGTTAGAAGGTACCCTGCCACTCAGCACGCGCTTTGCTGGCACAGTCGCGATCTGTTCCATTATTCTCGCTATTAACTGGCATTTTTTCGACAACGACGGCAAGCAATTATCCATCGATACGCTTCGCCGAAACCTCACAATGAGGAGACGGAGGCGTACCCCTGACAGCACATGGAGCCCACCACCAATCAATCAGGCTAGGACACCCGCTGATTGGCTTAGGATTCAAGATCACAATACTGCCCGGGAACTATTTGGATTCATCAAGCCGGGTGCTTCAAGCTTCATAGCCCGTATTTACGACCCCATCCTCGTGGTTGCGAAAGGGGCATACGGGCGCGACCGACCTCAGCCGCCGCTGTCTTTCACCGATGGAGTCCGCCGCTTTGCGCAAGCACATGCGTTTCCGGTAGCCTTGCTCGTCGTTACGTTTATCGCGACTGTAACATTATTCATGAACTATCTTCTCTGGACTGGACTTCCGAAGACTTCTGAAGACACAGAAGATGACGAAGTCACATTGTCTATCAAGACATTGCCGACGCCGCAGAACCTTGACGTTGTACAATTGGCTTCTTGCTCGAGAGGCCATCTTGCAAGCATATCTCTTGACCGGAGCACTGCACTGTGGCTACATGGCCGCGGAGGGTATCTGCACACAACGCTGCAGACAGCAACGATGAAGCCAAAGCTCTGGCCCATATATGCTACGGCTATGGACGATGGCGGCAACATCCTTGCAATCTGTGCAGATACTGGCCAGATCGGCTTATGGGACATCCCAGCATCACGATTCCTTCTGTTTCCGAAGATCGATATTCGTGGACAGGCGCCCGTTCTCTTTACATTTGCCTACCTTAAGACACGTTTAGATGTCGAAAAGCTCTACCTCATCATCATCACACCAGACGGACACCTGACCAGGCTCGAAGCACGCACAGGCATCCACTACACCAGGCGCATATCAAGCAGTCCCATCGTCTGCACCACAACCTACACCTCACTCAAGGGCGACACCAGCGTTGTGTTCGTAACGAAGCCTGGCGAAGTCCACATCCTGCCGCTTATGGAGGAGGGCAATACGATGTCCGAGGTAGTCGCCGGTCTCGACCCCGGGCCACCTCCAGGCAGCAACCCTGCGAAGATCCGATGTATAGAGGCTGTTCCTAGTCTGGGTCTCATCTTTGCACTCCGCGACGAGGAGGCTGAGATATTTGACTTCACGAGCCGAGCGCTCGTACACTCTTTCCAGATCGGCCACGTCAAGCCGCACTCCTTCAGAGTCTTGTATCCCATGCGACGGACATGTCAATGTGGAGCTCCAACAGTGAATTCGCTTGCTGTCGCATACACAGAGCAAGAAACAGACCACATGATCATGCAAAGTTTCTCTCTTGACGACAACACGTCGTCACAAATATGTCTCGGAAAACCGCTCGATAGGGAGAAGCACGGATGCCGTGGGCTCGACCATGCAAAGGAGGCCGTACATTACGTCGAGCCTGTCGGAGTGTGGGAGGCTACGGATGCGCTCAGTGTCGTGGGGATCAGAAGGTGTATACAGTCACCTACGCCATCGTCCACGACTTCAGGCACTGATGAATCTAGCCAAGGCGTGGATCCAGTGGCGCTCACGTCGGCTCTCAAGCAGCGAGCTCAAAACCAAGGCAGTCCGAAGGCTACCAATTCCTTAGGGGGAGTATTTGCCAAGGGCAGTCGAAAAGGCTTCGTTGGCGACACGGACACATGGGAGGCCTGGACACTCTCAAGCACAGGCGAGTTTCGCTCACGACCACTCGTTCCGGATAACCTGGATGGAACCACAGAGGTCCCTTATGATGACGAGCTTTTCGTGACAGCTCCTGGCCCAATGACTAGATTAGGGAAACGCAGTGTAGTCGTCGGCTTTGGCAACACCGTCAAGGTCATCACGTTGGGTAAAGAGTCGTTCGATGGCTTGACAAACCTCCAGAGTAACGCCATGGATATTGGCCTTGGGTCGTACAAGTGGAGGGCCCGCAGAGGCACTGGCAGGAAAGTACAGTGAGGATTTGCATATGTTCGGCGCAACGGTACAGACGGGCTCGGGATTTGGGTGGTGGGTGTGATCTACGTGCAACTTCAGCTCTGGTGTTAGACTACGGATATACCCTATGCGCAGTAAGCGCGGCGTTTTGAGAGAGGCTCTTTCGGCCTTGGCCTCAGTGGGGAGATTAGCAATGTACAATATGATTGTTCGCAGCGACTGGAGGCTTCACTCGAGCGTCATGGAGCCAACGTGTACATCAACCTGTGGCAATGCTCCATCAAGCAGGTGGTTTGCCGACACCCAATCGGCGGCATGAAGCGCACCTATAGCTTGAATAGCGAGAGTCGAAGCCCCGCAGTAGACGTCGATGTGCATAGACAGCTACAAGTCGTACATACCGAGCCGGCTATCCGCCTAGGCAGACGGCAGTGGTGAGCAGGCTGCATCGCCGTGTGTAACAACGAGTGACAGGATCAAGCCTGGTTTGGACCGCGCGTTGGGTGCATTGCATTGATGTCGGCAGGCCGAGGGACGTCATGTGGCGTGTGGCTGAGGCGAGCAGTCGTGCAAGGGCAGGGTCCTCAGACGGTGTGGTTTTGCGGGGCTAGAACAGGGGAAGAGCCCTTGAGAAAAGGGCCCACGCGACCCCCGTGGGTAGGCGATCGAATCGCGGCACATGCTCAGTCCAACCCTCCCTCCATACAAGACATCCCGACCGCCCAGAGCCGCAGGTGTCTTCCTTTTTCTTTTGCGCGCAGCCATTGCTATCCCCAATTGGTACGTCATGGCCCCCTCCGACTGCGGGTGCTGGTGTTCAGAATTTACCCTTTCACATGCGCCGAAGCCACCATCTATGTCCTCTCAACTCCTCCACCGCCCAGCCAACACCACACTGCACCATGAGACTAACCATGGCATAGTTCAAACATCATTATGAGTAAAGCACAATCACCATACGATTCACTCCGGAACATACCGCAGTGCTACGACAACTCGGACTCGGAGAAGTCGGCCCTCAACCTCATACTTGCGCTGCGGCCAGAATGGGAGGAAACCAAGGACACAATTGAGTTTGTGCGGTTTACCGATGGCATTACGAACACGGTATGCATATGCTCGCAGCCATGCACTGGCCACGGCCCCCTTTCTCCACGCATGGCTAAGACGACGGATAGCTTCTGAAAGCGGTGAACAACCTGCCCGGCCTGTCCAAGACCGAGGTCGACGACGACGCGATCCTGCTGCGAGCATACGGAAAGGGAACAGACGTCCTCATAGACCGCGAGAGTACGTGACCATGCACCGCCGCCACGACCGAGACTAAACAAGAAAACTAGAGGAAACCCGCTCCCACTCGCTGCTCGCACGCCACAATCTCGCACCCTCTCTGTACGCGCGGTTTGAAAATGGTCTCCTATACAAGTACATTCCAGGCGACGTATGCACGCCTGAAGATTTGCGACGGCCAGACGTATGGCGAGGAGTAGCACAGAGGCTGGGAGAATGGCATGCCACATTACCTATATCGAGCATTAGCAGCACATGTCCCGCGCCCGCACAACTCACATCTCACAACAACAAGCGTGCGTCTCTAGCCGCCATGGCGACCCTCACGCCAGGCAAGCCCATCCCGAATGTGTGGACAACAATGCAGAAATGGATCCTCGCGCTGCCGACCGACACAACGGCGCAGGCCGAGCGGCGCGATGAGCTCATGCAGGAACTCGAAAGCTTAGTAGCGTTATTGGGTGACACGCCCGGTGTAGGCGGCTCGAATCCGTTTGTCTTCGCCCATTGCGACCTCCTCTCCGGCAACGTGATTCTCGAGCCTACGCCGTCCTCTGCCTCTGCCTCGCGCCGATCTAGTGCGTCGAGCGGGTCCGACTCGCCCGACACTGCAGCTGCATGCGTGTCGTTTATCGACTACGAATACGCGACTCCTGCTCCTGCTTCCTTTGACATTGCAAACCACTTCGCCGAATGGGGCGGTTTCGACTGCGATTACAACGCCATGCCCACACGCACCACTCGCCGCGCTTTTCTCCGCGAATACCTCCGCAGCTTCAACGCGCACCAGAATAAAAGTTACAAGGAGGAGGAGCTCGAGATGCTGTTTGAGCAGGTCGATCGCTTCCGTGGCGTTCCAGGGTTTTATTGGGGCATCTGGGCGTTGATCCAAGCGCAGATTTCGCTCATCGAGTTCGACTATGCGAGTTACGCTGAGATACGGTTGGGCGAATACTTTGCGTGGAAGAAGACGCTTGATGGCGGTGTGGAAACGGAGAATGAGCGTATGGTGCTAAGGGAGAAGGTTTGGGCGTCAGAAGAGTAGGCGATGGTATGACGTTCCCGGCATGGGCATGCCTAGGAGTTTGGAAGAGTGGAGAAAGCTGGTTCGGCTGAACATTCAACATGCGATTTTCCTTATTGTTCCATAGGGGCGGGCGCCTTTTTTTCTTGTTCGCTATCAGCTAGAGCACTCACCTTGTTCGCCGTTTTTTTTACCACACGCTTAGTACGTTTAATACCAACTTAGAGCACGTTCGTTATGGGACTGTTACCAACTCATGATTCTGGAGCATACTTCGATGTTAGGTCACACACTTTGCAGTGTTGATGGGTGGTGGTGGTGGTGGTTACTGGAGGAGTTCGTGATGTTATCGGATAAGAGGAGAGTATATAGAAATGGTATAGAGGTAGAGAAACACGACAGAATTGGAGGAAGGCGTTGCATCATTTCTTGTGACTATGCTTAATATCATTGGAAACCCACAGACGCTTACAAAGACCTGAACGCTCCATGATATACCCCTTATTTACCCATTCTTCCACACTATCTCATGCGTCCGAAATCTGGGCTGCGCGCGGACTCGATCTTGCCCAGGGCGCACACCTTGTGCACCGGCACAGTATTCAACTACCAAACCACCCTTGCCAGAACGATTTCTCAACAACTTGATTGCCAGCAGCAGGTTCCGGCGAGGAGGGCTGCTGATGCTCCTCAACATTCTGTACGACTACCAAGATATATGTCAGTTCAACATCTCTGCAGAATTGCATGAAGACTTACCTGGCTGGTAGCGGTACCGCGAGACGATAGCATTCATCTCTTTCTCGATTCGGTCGTAGTCAAAAGCATCCAATAGGTTCCAAATTCGAATCATAGATATGATGTCCTCATGCACCTTGCTGCAGGGACCTTCGTTGAACCATTCAGCGGATTTGTCGATGTCCTTCTTTTCAACCTCTTTTTGGTCGTTGTCGCATTGCCAGAATGCATGGTCCAGGATGATTATGGTATCAAGAGCGCACATGAGCAACGCTCTGCCGAACTGGGGTGCGGATACTATGGACACAGCTGCAACGCTCGTGGCAACTACAGCTCCAGGCACAGCTCCGAAGCCTGACCCTACCATGACGGCACCAGCGCCACCCAAAGCTTGCGTAAACAACTGCACCACGTTTGCAGTAGTGTTGCTGACCAGAACGTTGGCCATACATCGCCAAGCGATGTCTCCGCTGATGCCGTGGAAATTGAAGATACCACTGATTGCGCTCACAATCATTGGTGCTACCACTGTGGTTGAGACACTGCCGGAATAGGCCATCGGAACCGTGCTCGTTCGTACGGCGTGCTTGTATAATCGCAGAGACTCTTTTATAGCTGCTTCGACCTTTACGTCGACCAGGACTCCCTGCGCTTGAGAAAACATGGCTCTCACTTGGTTGTTCTTCAGATTGCTGGATGTGACTTCAACAAGATTCTTGATGGATTCCGCATCCTCTGCACTATCATCAGCTCAAACATCCTAAAAGATCAAAAGCATTCAATGCTTACGCTCGCTTGTGAAGATTGGACCGGCCATGCACGGATACCCTTGAGAGGTGTCCACGAATGCCTCCTTGATCTTCGCTTTGAACAGATCAACACGTTCTGCGACTCTGGCATCAACGAACCTGCGACGCTCCTTATATGTCAGTTGGTCGTCGTTCTCCTCCTCGGGCACTTGGCCCTTGTATGTCGCCCTGAGTAGATCCACTTTGGAGCATATCACCACGACAGGGATGGTACTCTTGCACTCGTTCAGCACTCTGAAGAGATCTCTGTCGGACTCGCGGGCGGGTCGACTTTCGCGTTCGGATCCGGCTAGTATACAATACCTGCTATAATTAGCCTCCACGAAACTCCATAAAAAGAAGGACTTCATACCAGATGGTATGGACTCTCAACGGGAGATTAGGCTCTCTGGATCGGGTTGTCAAGAAATTTTTCACAGCGCTGGCTTCCTTGTTGGAAGCTCCGGACTGGAAGCCTTCCGAGTCGTGAACGATGTATGGAAGATCTGGTCCCGTAATCTCTTCCTCTACATCATGCTTTTGGTGTGTATTGGCATTGACCTGAGACTAGACCAAACAATTAGCAATGAGAGCTGCTTCGCCGAAGGGGACGTACAAGGTTGCCTTTGAGGACTTTGTTTATTAGCGAAGACTTTCCTACCCCGGCATCACCACAAATCAAGATACGGACTTTCTCGAGCCGTTTCTGCATGGCCGGTGACGAATTTTGCCAGAAGATTTCACCTTCATCTGGAATGGCCCGGTGACGAAACAAAGCGAGAGATTTGGAGAAAGCCCAGCCGCCAGACACATGGCTGATGCTGGGGTTCTCATCGAGCACTTGATACACAGATGGATGGATGAAAGTCCCGACAGGTGCTACAGACGAGAGTCAGCTACGATAATCGGATAGAATGGGGCATACATACAAGTGGGGCAATAGCCCATCAATACGTGTTCGTCGAATATGCATCGAGGTTTGATTGTCCAAACTAATCTGTGCGCAGGACCCCAGTACGAGCTGTTGATCTTCACCTTGAACTCGTCCTTGCGGTTCTCATGTATGTCGCAGAGATCCCAAAGGCGAACACTAATTCCATTTTCAAGTGTCAGGGACGTTTCTGACGGCTTGCTCGAGGTCTTTTGGCGCTGCGATTGTGGCGGCATGACCAACTTCACGGGATCGTCCATGTAAGGTTTAGGAGGCTCCTGGATGTACGCTGTCTCTTTGTATTCCAGCCCAATTGGTCGAAATCCAAGCGTGAGACCAAGAGCTTCGGCTTCAGAGAGCACCCACTGTAGTGGATAAAGTGACAGACCATCCTTGGAGTTCGCGCCTCCTAGGTCCTCATGTGTACCAACAAACCAAGCCTGTAAGATTCTGTGTTTTGACGATGCTGCGTTGATATCGGGTGTCGCTGTCTCTGGTTTGAACTGCTCTCTCTCCTCATTGAGGGCCAATGCATGACGGTAATGCTGAATGTGGGGGTGGGGCAAAACATCGAACAAGCCATGGTCTGTGAATGCCTTCACAGTGTCGAAAGCCCCAACAAAACGTACTACGGGAGGTGTTGTACTGCGGATGAAGTGATGATGGGTCTGTCCGTTTACGTTTTTGTTCGGCGCTCTGACATCGGGGTAGAGCTCCAACATCTCTTGGTAATGCTTTGAGAAATCGTGCAAGTCCTTGGGTACATGCATGTAACAGAGGAGGTTCGCCACGGCACGAACTGTAAATGCGCCACGGCTGAATCCGAAGAAATAGATCTCGTCGTTCGGGCCATTGGTATTGCGACAGCAGTAATCGTACACTTTTTCGATCTCGGCTGGAAGTCCAGACCCAAAGGCGCCCGAGAACAAGTTCTTCATGGCATTTCCCTTATCTCCAAGACCATTGAAATACATTCGTTGCTGTTGCCACCGTTTTCCTGTCACCTGGTCCGTAACAGGGCCTTCTTTCACGGATGCAAAGGCTCGAAACACCGTGCTGATATTCCCTTCTGGGCTTCCGAACGTGCCATCTGGCCCACCCCAGGTTCCGTCGACGCAAACGATCAAGCGCGTTGGTAGGGGCCCGTCCTGAATCTTCTCCGCAGGTGGTGCGGAGGCCATCGAGGGGTTCTGTTGCGCTTTCGATTCGAGGAGGACAGAAGACGGAGCGTAATGGTATCTCACGGCAAGTATGACCAAAACAGCCAGACATAGCCAACCCCATTGAGAACCTGTCTCGGATGCGGCACTCATGATGGGGAAAAAGTTGTAAATTTTCAGTTTGCTCAAATGATGTGAGGCGATGAGAGGGAGCGCGACAGCTCCATGCCACAGTCAGTCTGATCTATACCGCTCGATAGCCATTCTCATTTCCTAGGATGTCTGGACCCGGAAACACTAGAAATGGCGTCTGTAGTGCATGCCAGTGGCGCTCGTCCTTCTCCGGCTGCCGTGTGCTGTGGGCAAGGTATTCGTCGTTCGGAGCTGTGTGTAACAATGGTTCGTGTGCCTGGGCCGTGTCGGCTCAGCCTCACCTGAAGCAATTATGAGCAAGCGTCTAGAGCTTCATACACTAATTCTTAGTTCCAGGAAGTCGCCCATTCTACCGCATTGTGGCTGCGTGTTACGAGCGACATGTGCTACCGGCATTTGAGAAGCGACGTCCTCTCAAGTCACCCATCTTTAGGAAAATGCTCTTGCTGTACGGATAGCATGATTTGCAAGCTTGCAAACTGTACTTTCTCTGGGTATGTTGTATACGTTTGCGGCGAAAGAAGGAAGCGGGACGCGCCTGGCCGTGCCACGCCACATGTGGGGCGGACTCGCCTGGGCAGACATCGCAGGGCTGGAGGGCTGGGTGGCTGGTCAGCCGCAATACAATAAACCCAATGCATAGAAGGAAGCCTGGCTTGCAGACGCCTTGTTTGGGGTGGCTTGCAGAGCACGCGTCCTCACGACCGGTGCACTCGCATCGCGCGCTCATTCATTCTCTACCCCGCACAAATTAGAATGTGTAGCTCCGGACCACGAACTACAACACGATCGCGTTGAGTGCTGAGCAAGGTATGGGCCGGTGGGCGCCTCGATATGCGGCGACAGCCACGATGGCTTCTTGAGCGCAGCTGAGCCCAAACTTCGGCACAGTTCGCGGCTCGCTGTTTACCTAGGTATGCTCGTGACGCAAGGTGAGGCCGATGTCTCCGATTGTCGATGTTAGTGCGCGTAAACTGGCTTTCCCCCGGGACATGAACAGAGTTAACAACCGTAACGTCTCTTTACATTTGCATAGTTCTTCATCGACTGAAGCCTATTATGGAATCTATGTTTTCGTCTAATATCCGCGAACACGGCAGCATACCGTGGGACGACAAGTACATGAAGATTGGCTCCGGCTACGATCTCTACAAACAGCAGTCGCTGCGCTCGCCTTTTTGGCCATGTCACCCTTCCTCTGAACTTCCAAGTACGGAACTGCACACTCTGGAGATCAGCAGCAAGATATTGCGCGATGAGGAAACTTTACTTCAATACATGACCTCTGACACACGGGCACTTGCATCGGTCTTTACTGTCTTCAACCTTAAAGCCTCCCTGGAGACACTCAAGACCGCTCGATGTAGCAAGACGTCCATGACAGTGATTAAGCGTTGCACTATTACGCTGCCTGCTGAGCATCATGAGCATTTGCTTGAGCTCTCTGACGAAGCAGAGTCCTGTTTTGGGCGGCTGAATTGGTACGGGGAAGACAACGCACAAACCTTCAAGACAAGGTACGGCCAGTACTGCATCACTGGAAGAACTCGACAATCCACGTTCTTTGCCGTGAGCACCTACTCAGCCGATACACAGCAGGAACTCGACCAGTTTGCCAGTAGGCTTTCGGCGGACTTCAACGGAAAAACGGTGTCCGTCGAAGCTGCATCTTCCTTCGAAATGGGTTCATCCCACAAATCCGCTAGCATCAGGGAAACGCATGAAGTCGTCGTCGTTGGATGCAGTTCGCGGAACTTGCAACACCGGCTCCACACAATCGATATTCAGAAAGCTTGGGTCGACTTCCTTGAGCACTACACGCCTATACCAGTCCTGGCGCAAATTACACACTATGCCAATATCGACATCAGAATCAAACATCCGCAGGGGTCGCTGTCCATCCCAGAAGACTTTCGGAATGCAGCTGAGCTTGCCCAGCTTCTCCAGGTTGCAGCTCGGTCCAATCGTCTGGTCGGCGCTCGAGCCCTAGAGATATCTGTCCAGTCGACGATTTTGAAGCTGGCTGATCTACACGTATACGCGGAAGATAGTGACGAGGCCCTTCAACAATGCGTGGCGACTCTAAAGAACGTCCGAGAAGAGCTGAGTGGAGTGTGGGATCGACGGCGAAAGGTGGCAAAGGTGATGACTGAAACAGAAGGCCAAATTGAGAAGTGGAAGTTGTAAGCAAATTCCTTCTTCATAAATGGCTGCCATGAGACTGATTGACTTGTAGAAACAAATGGGTGAAAGCCCACCACACCCCACAATGGAAGATTGGAATCTGCCCTGATGATGTGCACGAAAGTCTCCGCAATGAAGTCATAGAGTATCGAGAGGACTGGGACCCTGAGAGTAAGCGTGATGGTATGCCCGTGTGTCTCAAGAATGAGGTGTCCATGTGCCTCCCTGGACGCCGAATTGTTGGAGCACAGGTTGAGAGTGGTTGGCAAGATGATACCAATGGATGGTGGCGAAGGACCTATGGGTCTTTGGGAGAAGACACGCTTGCTATTGGTTTCGAGACTCAACACTACCGCGGTGGTAGCTGGGCTTTGATTGTATGGGCGGTTGACAATAATATATACATGGAAGCCTGATAGTATCTTGGACAGGGTCATGAAGTCGCGCTAGGTACATATGGATTTCGGAGGTTGTGAGTAGCTCGTCTGCGTCGCGTCACCGCAGTACCATGGGACGAAGAGCGGTGGAAGCAACAAGGTCTTCAACCGTGAGTCTCAAGTCAGAACGCGCTCCTGGTCCACAGTATAATGCTAGCATCATTCGTAGCTTGTCTATCGCCTGTGATGGTTGCTCGTCACTTCGCTTACTACATTTCCTGCAGAAATGCCCATTCCTTCACATACGACCATAGGACAATGAGAATTAGGCTTCCCGTCCGCTCAGCCATATACAAGCATTGTACCGGCGGATTAGTAGTTAGGTGGGTGACCACTAGCGAATCCCTGCTGTTGTATGTTTTTGCAGTTCTTTGTTGATGAAGTTTTTTTTTTGCATGTGGGGCGGCCGCGCACACTGAACTTGAAGGCCCGGTGGAATGAGAGGCGCTAATGAAGTCTGCCCTTGGTCGGAAAACGCGAGGCTGTGTTGACGAAGTTTCGGCCGCATGTCACGCCGAAGGAGACGTCCTTTCCGGATTGGAGGAGCTTCCATGCTGCCATAAGCTCGTCGGCCAGAGCTTCTCTCCAGGGCCTCCAGAATTGATTGAGTTTGGTATGTCCACCAGTAAATGTCACCATGTACCTCGGAGAAGCGATTCGTCATGCCGTACTGAAGCTTTTGGAGGTGGATTACTAACTCGAACTGGAGTGCTGAGGTCTGTAGCTACGGCAAAAGCATCCTCACGTCGCAGGCCCAGCCATCCAGACCCACGGAGATCAACACAGGCTTGATGCCGGCCTCATTCGCTGCCTGTATGTTGCCTGTATGTCGCCTGTGATGGCCATAGTAAACTTGAAAGCTCGATGGAAGGCAAGGCGCTGATGTAGATTGTCCTGGGACATACTTTTGTTTATTCCCAGTGATGGGAGCTGTCTTGTTGTGCAGTTTGAGCAGCGGTGTAGTACAGCTGATACGTTGGTAGATGGCAACGCGGTCCTGGCGACGTGATGCGCAAGAATTGCCCTTCCGACGATTGGCAAGCCATCATGGATGCTTGCTGTCCCAGCTTGCCATTCCTTTGGGGGATGTGATGAGCTTCTATCCACGATGATAATAGAAGCGGGCTGACGCGACTCTGCTGCTGTGGTCAAAGGGAAGCGGTAGCTGGTACTGCTCTTGCATAGATCAAACGACGAGGCTTTTCGATATCTCGTCGAAAGCCTCCCAGTTTCAAGATACGTTGACGAATACAACCATCTTTTATGTTTCGTACGTCACGCCAGAAAGCACCCTGGAGGTACTCGCTAATATTCCCGTTGATACGCTCATATCAACAAGGACTATGTATACGCCTGGAGTACACACGAAGGCGCAGACAAAAAGGGACAGACTCTTTGTATCTGCCTAGGTGTCTCTCCAAGGAAACTGTTGTTATACGCAGGTGCTGGGATATATCGCGTGACAGCCTCGTAACAGCTGTGCAGTACTGCAGGTCCACCAGGGTAGCCATTCCACGCGGCATAGTGTGCGAGGTACTTTCTTCCAAGCTGCGGAAACCCTTCTCTAATTGTGGTTGTACCGTCTTTCCAGCACTGCGGCGGAGCCTTGGAAGATCGGTTGATATGACACTTGGAGGGGCGCCATTGGCGGCGTCGGCGGTCAATGAGAAGCGGTATAACGTTTCGCGATCGGATGGAGGGCCTCCCTTGCATCGGTCCTCATGCATGGCTAGGTCGTAGAGGTCGGCATAGAATATACCACAGTCGTTTTTTTCGCACTTGAGTGAAGATGAAATCTCGATGCTGTTTAATCCTGTGGCTTTGTGACGCAGCTGAGAAGCTGTCTTCCACAGCAGGAGAAGGAAGTTGTAACAGCCGTGGAGCACTGCGGCCACATTGAAGGACGTCTAAGCTGCATAGTGAGCTAGGTATCTCTTGCCAATGGAAGGCCATCCTGGAGGCTGTTGATTCCGGCCTTCCAGCTTTCCGGGGCTTTCGCCGAAGAGCGATTGACGACTTTGACGCTCGGAGGCTCCCTAGCAGCCGCAGTCAAGGCAAAGCGGTATGATGTTTTACGCTCTGGTGATGACCTATCTCCCTCGCAACGATGTTCATGCATTGCTAGTTCGTAAAGGTCGGCATAGAAGCCGCCACATTCGTTTTTCTTGCACTGGTATGGCCCTCGGTTGTACTTGGTGTGGCTGCGTGTGTAGTTCGCCAACCCTGTTGCGGTACGGGAGGTATGCGTACATCCGATTCAACATTGTAGCCATCGAGACCGGGTACCTTCAGGCTGCCGTCTAGAAAGGCTATTCGTTGGTGTGAATCTGACTTCCGGCGCTTCGAAGCCACATCGTCGTGCGACTTGTCGGGGCGGGC